GAATCACACTGTAAGCATTTCATTTCTTGTACAAAATCTGTATGCATGGATATAGTATACCGGAATCAAGGCAGCTCCCATTAGCTGATCTGTAACCGGTGTGTTTTTTTTTTAATAAATAAGGCATAGTCGTTAACCAACAATGGTCATCACCGTGCTTGTACTTTTGAAGAAGAATGCTTGTAAGAAGAGGTTGGAGAGGTTGGGACTAATTGTTAATATACAAATAGTGTAGTCATCTAAGGTAGAGCAATCAAAATAAACAGTCTCAAAAACGTTTTCATCGATTGATATTAAGGTCTTTTGAATTTTCATGACTCTTCTTTTTCCGTATGAAAATCTCGAATCATGACGATTTTGAAAAAAAACAGAAATTCTCTTTTGGGCGGTAGCTCTACCGCTGCTACTACTCTTACGAAATCCATTCCGGTAGGTACTGGGCAAAGTAAACATAAATTTCTGAGATAATTGATGTGATGTTTTAGAGCGCGGCAAAACAACAAACTTGCTCAAGGATCTAGAAACATATACATATATATATATTATATATATATATATATATATATATTATATAATATTATATATATATATTGGTGTGTGGTGTGTGTTGTGTGTGTGTGTGTGTGTGTGTGTGTTTGGTGTGTGTGTGTGGTGTGTGGTGTTGTGTGTGTGTGTGTGTGTGGGTGTGCTTGTTGGTTGTGTGTGTGTGTGTGTGTGTGTGTGTGTGGTGGTGTCTGCGCGGAAAATAACAACTATAAAACACTCATCAGATCACCCCAGCTCAAACAGCTCAAGTATCTTGAAAGATGTGTGTTTCTCCAAGTTTTGAACAAACGTTGTTTGTCGAGATTGTCATCACTGAAATGACCTGTCGATGCATATCCCTAGCTGATTATGCTGCTTGCGTTTCATATCGATATCGATGTCGGCAAAACATGACACTCTCCAAACCGTGTGCAATACTACCGTCGTGCTTTATGCTTTCATGTATCTAATGGCATTGTATTATTATTAATGGTGAATAAAATTGGAGCCTTCTGAAGTGGCCGTGAATCATCAGTGCAGTCTGATACTCCATCCTTCATTCATCCATCATGCCGCGCGTCTTTTATCAGGGGAATCGGAGCACGTCATGCGGCTCGGCGAATGAGAGTGGGCTCCGTCGGGGTCGCGTGGGTCGATTCCAGCCACGCGCTGTTCATTGCGCAGCTTTTCATGCGCATGTCCTGCGATACAAGCCAGGTTTCTGCTGCTTAGCTTAAGGTTGTAAATCAAAATGCAGTTATTTTCGCAGCTGACCGCATTTGTGCAACTTGCGTGTCTTGGTTGAGGAGCTTTTCTGATGCGTGCTCCGCCTCCATGTTATTCAGCATTTAGTGCAAAGGAAAGACTGCGCAGTTCATGACGAACGTTTATTTCGGAGACCAACAAAATACTTTTTACTACATCAGCGCTTCGTAAAGCTAAATAATAAATACGGTAATGTTTTCGTGTCGTGTGTTTCTGCAGAACAAACACAGCCACCGGTAAAGGCTCAAACGGCACATCGTGTTACCATTTTAAATGGGTATGAACAGAAAAACCTTAAGAATGCTTCACTATGATGTAAGGAGCGCCGAACAATCATTTACATACTTGAATCACGAGTTTGAGTGTTTCATGACAGATCAAATACCACATCGTCACAACAGGTCGCAAACTGCTAAGAAACTAAGGAAAGAGCCCACTTGACAGTCTTCACTAAAAACAAGTAAACATAAGACTCCACTAGTATTCCACTGTCAGCGCCGGTCCAGAACCGCGCGTTCCAGCGGTGTCACCAGTCTCGGCTGTCCTGGGCAAGACGGCGTCCAGAAGCGTGCTCCGGACGGGGCTAATGCGGCGCGGACGCGCGGCGCCCGTGTATCCTCGCGGGCGGAGAGAGATTTGTTGCTGTGGAGGACTCGTTCATCGTTGTTCAAGCAGGCGGCGTAGTAGCCCTGGCTCTTCCTGCAAACAACGTCTCGGATGTAAGTATCACTATTACACGCCGGTGCTAAACAGCAGGAACGCGGCATGTTCACAGGCGGAATGAAAGTCCAACCGACTTCAAGTCATGGCACTTAAAATGTGGAGCATCTGCTCGTATTGACAGTTCTGCTATGTTCTACGGCATACGACCCATAGCTCAAAGCAACGTTGCATGGCGAATTCCTGGGAGATTTGGGAGAATTCCACAAAAAGAGGATACTACTCGACAAATTTTCCTCGAAAAAATGACAGGAATTTATGCATGCCAGAAAACAGTAGATGCCCGTTTACATCCATTGATGCCTAGGTCATATGTGGTGGAGCTTGGCTTTGCCCCTTCTGTCTCTTCTCTGCAGCGCAGTACCATCTTGATTAAGGGCGCAAGAACTTCAGGGCTTGTACGCTACTACCCGTTGCCATTTGCACAAGACAATGTATAAGCAAGTTGCATAACATCAGTTGTGTTCATCTCTGTTCAGCCCTGCCCCCTTAAAATAATCCATTCATGGCTAGTTACCACCTGCTATTTAGTGCTACTACTGCTGACCAATTATATAAATATACAATTCAATTTCGGTCTCAAGGTGTTGTAGAGTACCTGGTCGCCGCTATTTGCATTTTGGGTGCGTGCAATATTTGTCTAGGGTTAGGTCAGTTTCAACTTCCTGGTGGAATTTGACCCCTATGGATCGCAGACAAATGAAAGGGGCACTACCCTCCTGGGGAGTAATCGATAGCAGCTATTTGTTACGTGACATGATCTACATCGGCAAATGGCATCATCCACCCCTATATCGAATAAGGATGATGTATGTTCCTACAGGAGGAAGATCAGGCCGGTTTAGACACGAAACAAACACGATTCTAGTTCATGGGGTAGATTATGCCGTGCGGATGTGTTTATGTGCAACTGGAAAAAATGACAATTATGGCATTAAAAATTATGCTGTGAAAAGTGATTTTAGGTATGTGTTCATGCATCGAATGGACCGTTTACGATAACTTACAAAAACGCAAGCCTTGCCTATCCAGCACCTAAATGATTCTAGCCGATGTAGACCGCTTTCCTTGTGCTTGCAAACTTGGCTGCTAGCTTTGGCAGCTGCAATGACGATTTATCAAAACATCGACAGTTGACATGATCAGGATAATAACAAAAACACTTTCGAAAATCCGACGCAAAAGCATCGTTTAAAATAAGAGACACCGCAAAGCGTAATTAGCCCTGACTTCGCTGTCCCAGTTAAGGGAACAGACTGGACTCCAAATACCTTGTTTAAGTTCACCACCGATCACCAGAAACGCACATATTTCCTGGCGAATTTAAAAAGTGAAATTACTTCCTTGAGACAACAGCATCTTACCTCTGAATCATCATCACTGAGCCGATAAGGAACAACAGTACGCTTCCCAAATCTGAAACGACCAGGCAGAAAGAATTGACAGACGATCGGTTACATACGTCCCACGCTCAAACAGACCGCAGAAAAACACAGACACCTTTAGAGCAGTGCACCAACATTCACACAGATCAAAATGAGTCACTGTGACAGCTCAAAAATATATAAGGGGCGGAATGAGCACTACATGACTATACAGAATCCACGACCGGAACAAATTCGGCACTCAGCGTTAGCGTGGGGCGGTTAGGGTTGACGGGGGGGGGGAGATTGCACAGCTTTGACTGGACCCCGAAGCAAGTTACCTCTTTTACAGTTCTCACTGCGCAGCGTGTGTTGTGCATGCGAGGTGAAACATAGGACTTAATCTATGCTTCACGTTAGGGCTGAGTTAGATCGGTTCGCAGCGCACTATTTACACCGCCCATTTTGCAGTCGGCAACAGATAACACGCGAAGAAAACACGCCGGGAGTAATCTAACGTGGCCAGTGTCTCAATGGCATTGCCAATGTGACAGCAAAAGGATAAAGACCATTGGGACATGGCATGCAGGTCGCATGCTTGCTACGGATGCTATTTGCGTGCGGTGGAGTTACTGCATGCCGATCAGGAGATTGGGGTGGTATGTATGGGACGGTATTATCTTTAAAAAACAGCAGAAACGCAAATCATATGCCTGACTACATTTGTACTGTTCGGGAGGTATTTCGACCCAAACTGCTTGAATCCACGGGGACCGCCTACAACCCTCTGCGGAGAATGCCGTTGTGCGCACGTAAACTCACACCGCGTAGCGTCACGACAAAAGTTCAGAATATTGCATTCGATCCAATCTCCGTCATGAAAAATAACAGAAAAGATAAAGCTCGCTTTAATAGCCGGAAATACGTCCACGTAGGGAAGCTTTTCTTCCGCATGGTGTAGGAAGTATCAAACGGAAGTATGTTCCAGGCAGCAATTTTTGTTCCCGCGACCGTACAGCAGACAACTCCCCGTTGATGGTATTCTGAGGCTTTGTCAGACCGTGTGCTGTAGCATGCCAGCTGACCATAAACGACCAAAAAGCTGACCAGTGGTAATTGCAGCTTTCCGCACATGCTTCAGTTTTTCCTATCGCCACCTGGCAAGGTAGAACGAATGGTTTGGTGACGCGACTCAGTGGTAAGCTAATTCACGCATGCTAGCGTGAATGAGCCGTAAATAACATTGAGTGGACAAGCATTAACAGTGATGGGCTGATTCGCAATGCGCCTGTTTGGTCACGGTGAGCGACTGCTTCCGCTGATTCGCTGACGGCGCCGCCCAGTCTCACGTGACTTTATACGCGGGCTCGAAAACAACCCGTTAATGTATTTCCAATGAACGGACTCTGATGTATGCGTGGTTGTCCCCTAATTGACCGGAAATTATTTTATGGCACTGCGTGAGCATCAACTGAGGCATTATGTAGCGACGCAAAAGGTACTAAAAGAGGACCAAGCGATATTAAAGACCTAACCTATAAAGAAAAAATATTGGAACTCCACGTCAAAACATTTTATCTGAAGCTGAAGAATAAAAACATGTACACTGAAGAATAATAATCGTCTTTATGGTGTTGTTTTGTATCTCCTCAGTGTATGTTTAGCGCCTATGAAACTTTTACTATATCGTCTATGGCACTTTCAATGACAGCTGAGTGACTCAGGTCGTTTGTTTCATGCTGAGCAAACGGCTAGAGCACTCAGCTATTAAAAATTGTGCAATGAAACTCATGTTGTGTATGTACTAGTTTCATAATATTCATCGTCACAAGATTTGGATCGAATTTTAAAGTATGTAACACAAGAGGGAAGTCAAACTCCATGCGAGTCAAACTGTGGCATAAAAGGCGAGGTTGTGCAAAATCGTGGTATTCTGAATGCATTGGTGTTCTGAACGCATCAAACTATGGTGAACGCTTGTCGCTGCCTTAGCACTTCATCGTTCATGGTTGTTCATTTTTCATCCCTATGTTTACTTGAGCCAGCTTGGCAATAACAACACTGGTTATGCGATCCTGCCTTTTTATCTTGCCTAGCTTTTGTCAGCGCTTAACCAGTTGGCACGCAAATGAATTTTAAATGCAGCTTTTTCGCATGTCCTAAACGCCCAGTCTCCCTAAATTGAGTTGTTGGTACGAATGAAGCTTTTAACTACTTAGAACAAACGTCTTGTGTACCATGGAGTACAAATCAAACATTGATTTCATGGATTTTCAATTTCTCACGGTTGAAATGACGAAGTTAATTTGAAAAAAAAGAAGAAGAGAGTGCTGCAAAGCGGGATATACTTCATGAAAAGCATGCTGCGACATATGAATCGAGATTTTGAACCAAAAACCCGGCATTCTGAGCATTTGGCCTTGCCCTTAATTAACTCGCGACTGATAGTTATATATTCGCATTTTTAGATTACCAGTCTGGTATTAAGATGGCTTTGAATTTTATCCTAGGCAGATCAGCGCCAGGCTAGAGCAGGATAAAACCAAAATACTTCTCGTATTTATTTACGCACATCATTTGAGTTATGCATTTCAGTAGGTAGCTATCGCGTGATTTGTCCAATTATAAATGATGGCTGTATTTGTGCTAACCCTGAGTGATGCGACTATAAAACTTGGTGCTGGAGCTCAGCATGAATGGTAATCTCTTGCCACATGACACACAATTCATTCATTGTCCAAATAAAAAGCTGACACAAAAGATGTGACTCAGCTAATAAATTAAGTCACAGTGCCCCCGCTGAATCGATTCGGCCAGCGGCATTTACACAAATTTGGTCGACGAGTAGAGGTCTGACTGGTAGAGAGTGGAACACGGATCTGGTCAAGTGTCTCGCGACCGTTCAACTGACTGGTCACGGTGCAACAGTGTGTGGTGCAGCCACCAGCTGATGACAACTAAACACGGAAGGCCTCGTGTGTGCGGAAGGCTTCGGTTGTCAGAATCTGCAGCAGAGGGCCATCTGGTCAGACTTTTGTTCAATATGTGACTAATCTACATGGGTTATAGGGCCTTTCTGCTGCTAAGATGTCTTATTAAACGCGAGCTTCTGCAGTCCCAGCATTTGCAGTTGGATGTTAATATATGGAATGCATTCATCATAACTGTGCAGGGCCATTTCAGAAGCGATCTCATTAACACGAGACATCCATCCAGCTGAACGAAACAGACGGATGTCCGAGCCATGCACATACGACCCAGCCAATTGTAAGATATATGCCTACTGCGACAGAATGGGGTACGGGCAAGCAAAGGTTAAGTAACATTTACTTAGCATTGGAGATTGATCACGAGCGTCTACGTTTGTCATCACCCATGACAACACCACAATATGGTGTTGGTTTCCAGAAACTTTGTTCAATTTAGACAGACTTCAAATCACCAACGTCGCGTCAATCATGCATGCACATGCATACTAACACCGCACTTTGTATCGTAATTCTTTCCCCTCCTCATGCCATCCCAAGCCGCAAAAGGATTATTGTCGGACATTTTATGAAACATGCACACAACGCTTCTGCATAGGCAGATTTGCGTCTTCCCTGTGATTGGTTTAACCATGACGCCCGCTGGTGCGCTGGTGCGGAGACCCAGCCCGCCTCGGTGAATTTCGATCGGCAGCCAAGTGAAAACAAAGGAAAGGAATGTTTCCCCATGGTTTCATGGACACATTGACTGCAATGGTCATTTAGCGCCGACTACCACGCGAGCAAGCTGCTTTTATTCGGACACATAGGTGGGCGGCACGTTAAGCCGACAGAGCCGTAAGGCCTGCATTAAGCAGGTCAAAACTGGTATCATGCACAGTCGCAAAACATCAAGCGGATGAGTAGGTTATTAAAAGTATTTGTGCTTTATAATATTCTAGCAGTCTTAGCGTTAAATATCGCTTCCTCCCAAACGCAGGGAAGAGAGAGAGAGAGAGAGAGAGAGAGAGAGAGAGAGAGAGAGAGAGAGAGAGAGAGAGAGAGAGGAGAGAGAGAGAGAGAGAGAGAGAGAGAGAGAGAGAGAGAGAGAGAGAGAGAGAGAGAGAGAGAGAGTCTTCGCTGTGCGTTAGGCCAAAGCAAGGTTACGCCCAGCTCCTTATCTGCGGCACTGCACAAACACGTGGGCCATTGACAGGGTGTAATCCCAATCGAAAAAACTTGGCGCTTGACTTCCAGTAAGAAGCAGGGAATCATGGGTTCGATGCGTAAGGCGAATTCAGGTTTAGAAGCGTGCGATTAGAGTACTGCTTACAGCATGCGTAATAAGACCAGGTTAAGCCAGTTTGTAGCGTCCATTACAGCTATTTTTTGCGTTTCAAAGTCGTTTTAAACGCTCCGACACAAATGCTCTCCGGGTTTTCCACTGATGCTCATAGCACTGCTTTTGTTCTTAGACATTGCGAAAGAAGACGTAACAAGAGCTTACATTCGCTATCATTTGGTACCGCGGGCTGAAAAGCACGATTTCTTTTTAAAAAAAATAGATTGTTTGCCTGTCTGGCGATACCAGACGCCTAAGCAAAGCAGATGACGTCCCAAAAAAGTATGATAACTTTAAGATGATGTGAGATAAAAATGAGCCACAGGCGATGCGCAGCGAAGCACGCGAATGTTGTCAGGTTATATATATATATATATATATATATATATATATATATATATATATATATGTATATATATATACATATATATATATATATATATGAATATGTTTCTCTTATTCTCTCTTTCTTCCTCTCTCTCTCCCTCTCTCTCTCTCTCTCTCTCTCTCTCTCTCTCTCTCTCTCTCTCTCTCTCTCTCTCTCTCTCTCTCTCTCTCTCTCTCTCTCTCTCTCCACGCTGCTCCTCCACAAGCTTGGAGTTTATATTATCAACAGCAAGATCCTACCGCTCGCTGAACCAGGCTTGGTCTCGGTACCGCTCTGCCATGTAAGTGAAGAACCTGGCTATCCCCAGCCACCGAGAAAAAAAGTCGAGTTCACATCATCTGCAGCGGGGTTCTTCCTCGCCAAGATGATCTATTTGCTGAGCCGGTTGTTTATTGGTACCATGCTTGGCGGCCCATATTACTCACTGCTCCGATTGCTTTCAAATGCGACGGAGCCGACCGCCACCAGTGTTAACTCCAAGGAATAACTTTTCGCATCGTACCACGCACAGCGGTCAGATGTGGAACATAGTGTTACATACGCCTTGCATTCGCCATGCTGATTGAAAAAGGTAAAGTTTCGGGGGCTTTTGTATGCGTATGTATATATTTACGTTATTGTATATTTTTCATTATTGAAGGTTCTGGAGTTGCTATAGCCCAAACTACAGTTGCCCTGTTTATTAAATCAAATATATGCTTGTGTTCATGTCCTATTCGTTGAATTGGAAAACCAAATTATCCTCAAACAATGATGGCTTTCAGCGTGCCAGCCGCAACCAGTGATGGATGCGAAGGCCGGCGGAAATGGGAAGGGAAGCTGTCAGAGTGCTGGGCATGATCCGTGTTTACTGAGCACCGGTAGGCTGGGGGGGGGGGGGGGGGGTACGTGGGAGGAGTATGTGGAAGTCTGCAGTCAGTGTCCGTGTGTCAATCATGAGCCCACCAGGCGCGGCGGGCTGCAGATCGGACACGAAACGAAGAAGATGGCAAGAATGTCTGGTCATGTGAGCAGCAATCACGAACTGAAAGAAACTTGACGACTGAATGACTAAATTATGAATGTCTTGAATGAAAATTACCGATCAAAATATGGAATACGGCGAACCCATGTGAGCTTAAGCCCTGCGGCGAGAACGTAGTGAAACAAAAGCGGGCATGACAGAAGGATAAATTGGATAGGCTGCTACAGGTGCACGTCAAATTTTGAGCGGCACCTTAAGCGCTCTATTAGATGTAGCATCACCCGTCAGGTACGGAAGCGTCAGTCAATTCACCGCTGTCTCTCAAAAGCTTGGTTCGAGAATCGTCAGTTCAAAATAAACAAGGAACTATAACCGCCATGCCTAACAGCAGCAATAGTCCCGAACTGAAAGCTGTGGCCAGTAAAGGTGGGATCAGCTCCCTCTAGACCCAGTCTGTAGATAAGCGTGATGATGGTTAACAATCTTCTCTCACACTCCGTGCGGCATACACAAGAGCCCCTGTCTTTGAGTCGTTCATGTTCTGCGTTATATGCGCTGGCCGGCTGTAGGGATCGGCACTCGATGCTAGCACCGAAATGACAATCCTGTCCGTGAACACGACCTCCAGTGACCGTGACCTGGACTGACCCCGGCAACCGGGACGACGACCCTGATGACCTGAGCGCGGACAATGAACACCGGTGCCCCCCTGCGACCGGTGACCTACCTAGGTCTACTCCGGTGGGAGTACTCCCTGTCGATGTTCAGCAGCCGCAGGTACTGTTCGGGGCTAATTCTGCCGGTAGCCCGTCTCTGTACCCAGAGGGTTTCCGTCGGCAGCTCACTACCTAGCTGACGCCCTGTCCCGACGGTCCAGCTGCAAAGCAACAACGCTCAGGGCGGGGAACGGGAGCTTCGCTCAGATGAGTTGCGCGGCTCAGTTGTTTTGTTTTTTTGTCATTTCATCTTTTTGTCGTTTTTGTATGGGTTTCATCATTCGTTGTCCGCCGTCATCCGTTTTCTGCGGATTTCATCTGTGCCCTCCACTAGGATATTTTCTGAGAAGTTGCTTAGGGAATTCTATAAAATATGAGGCTGTTGACTTCCAGGTAAATCCCAAGTTCTGTGCACAAAAAGCGTCACAGATCTGGGCTGACCCGACAGAAGGCACCTGCGTACTCTTCCAACCCGCAGCTCAACCACTGCGCATCAGTCAAGTTTTTTTTTTGCTCGTGACTCCACTCGAGGACGCGCCACTACACACAGCATTTCATCAGAACGCACAGCCATCTGGTGGCCGGGACAGTCTCCAAAGGTCACCGCTCAACTCTTAGCTACTAAATTAGGCGTCGACTCAAGGTGGCCAGTCATTTACAGTGCAGAGGTGCTCTACGGTTACAAGGGAGGCAGAACGCGCGGTGAAATCCTTACACCGCTGCGTGTGTCAGACTTGACGGCAGCATTGTTCGCAGCTGGCTCAGATGTTGCAGATAAGAATTAAAGACCTTTTGAGCTGATGGTGAATGCAGGGTGAGTCTGATGTATGCTTTGCGACCTGGAGCATTCGTAGCAAAATGGAGCACAATAAAGTGATCCGACTTAGTTCTCGCCCATGGCGGCACACAATAAGTATGAACATACCCAGGGGGGGATGCGCTCCGGTGTCATTAGCATTACAAAAAGTGTCACTGTTTCGGACGTCAGTCCAGCCTTGTGATTGGTCAGAGGAATTGGTGTCGTCACAGTTTGAAACCCCGTGAAGCGCCGGTTGCCATGATGATTATCCCCCCGGCGTGGGGGAGGATCTCATACTTGACGCTACTTTTTACTTCGGCCAGTATTTTACAAAATGCCGGCGTTTTGAGATGCGTCTGATTGGTTTAAAGCGTAAAATTTCGGCTAAGCTTAGACTTGACACTGGTAAGGATCAATGGAACCCAACCATCGCCCCACATGCCGTTCACTTTTCATCTGAAGTGCTCGTTTTGTTTCGACGGCTTATCCGGCGCAGTGATGCGATGCTGTTTTACGACCGTGCAAATCAAAATTCTTCAGGTAAGGCTTGAAATGAAACACTAGAGTGGGCGTAAGCATCGGCGCTCTGCCAACATCCACGCGTAAGTGCTGACACAGGTGTGCGTTTAACAATGAGATGAAGTTTCCTGAACGTTATTTATGGGATTACTAAAGGAACTATCACTGTCAGTGATCTGTGTGCTGCCTGGCGTGGAGCATCATTTTGGTCGGGTGTTAAATGTCGTAGGATATGCAAGAATCTGAAAAACAATTGAGCGCCACTTGACCCATCTTGGAAAAATGACATCATTTTCAAATAAACCGAAGAGATTTCCTGACCCTGGGACTAAAATATACAGATGAGACCCGCTCTCGTCGCCGCCCACCGTCGACGGCCTGCAAGAGCTGCTTCTTGATCCTGAAATGGTGTACTCTTGGCATTGGCGTAAGCAGGAGCTACCATCGACTGACCTGCCGGCAGGTCTGCCCACCAACCCTCTGACCATGTTGCTGTCTACTCGCTGATCACACTACTGTTGGTGTGATCTGGTGCGATCCAACAAAAATCCAATAAACGATCTAAAGTGTGCAGAGGGATCCAGCAAGAACCAACACCCAGCTTGCCTTGTGCCGCTGGATCCAGCAGCAGGGAATGTTTAGCCAATGATATGGCCAGCGATCCCGCAAGAACCTAGAGACAGCCTGGAAATATGATGGGAATACAGCAAAAAGCAAGATGCAGCATAAAGTCTGACACCAACAACAACCAGGACCTCACTTGGATGGGGTGTTGCAAACCAGTATGCATTCACTTGATGAGCTTGCGTTACGTACTGTGCACATATAAATGTTAAAGAACTTATGTAAGATATCTTTGATCTCAGACGTTATTCCAATAAAATAATATTGTCAAATGATAGCTCGAGCTGGTGGCTGGAGCTGGAGCTGGACGAATGAGCCATTGGCAAACAGCAGTCCGGAGCAAGCGGTTTCTGAGTGAATTAATAGAAACCAAAAGCGAGGACATGGTGTTCGTGACAAACCAATTGGAGCTCATCATCGCATGGGCATCGTTTCAATCAGAGGAAGTGGAAACCGGAAACCGACATTGGAAGTCAGACGCATGTCTGCTGGTAACGGATCTGCAAGGGCAGAACCAAATACAGTTTTGGTGACTCAAACGTGATATCTCACATCCATCAAAAGTCGTAATGTTTATTGGAGTGTTAAGCAGATCTATTATCGGTTGACTTCAGACTGAATATTCCCTGCTCGTGGGTGTTGATTCCGTAGAAAAATATCCCATTCCCAACAAATCACTAGTACATTTTCCAAAGATAACTAATTTTGTAAGTTGTCTTGCACTGGACATACGCACGTAGCGTTGATATTGCAACTTATAATTTCCATTCGCCTCAGCGCTTCACTACCGCATGTATCAGCACAGGTTGATCGATATTGGAAGCATAACATTTAGCTTGTTTTCCTGTTCATTCTTGCATTCCTGTTTCCTGAACACTCTTCACGCCTTCACGCTCCTAGTATCATATACAGATTTTGTTGACATGGTCACTCGTCTTGCCGCGTCAGATTGACCGCCAAAACATGAAGAGCCTGTTATATGAAAACCGTCCGTGCTGAACAGCGGCATTTATGCGCAATTAGTGTTTGCCAGTACATCATCTCAAGTTATGGGTGCATAAACGCTTGCAATCATTTCTTTTCCACCTCAGGATCCTTGGATATGGCGTAACGCAGACCAAGACCAGCCCTTGAACATTTTCTCATAATGCAAACTCTGGGGTTTACTGACATGGCAACCGCGGTTCAATTCTGTGACATGACTTCCTCTGACCGATTGTAGAATGGGTATGATGCCCGAATTCGCGGCTTCTCCCAAAGCCATAGGCTCTACATTTACGGCGACCGGGGGTTCTTCTTTGTTTCTATAGCCTTGGACAGACCATAGACGTGAGACGTAGACAGTCGCGAGCCGAGTGTAGTTAAGCACCTCCTATCCGCGCATGATCCGGGAACAATAACGAATGCACACCTTATTCACATACCGGGCGCCGCATGAATATTATCATCATGCCGCGAGCTGTCATGACACCGATCACGGGACCCAAACGAGCGCTGGTGCACCGCGAAAGGGCGTGCGATGCGAACTGGGAGCCCACCGCGTCGGCGGAGTAGGGCCTCTCGAGCCTGGCTCCGTCAAGGAGGCCGGTGGGCTCTCAGGGTGGCTGGTGCTGACGGCTCCGATCGCTGATCACTGTCCGGGACAGCTGGATCGCTGATCACTGTCCGGGACAGCTGGATTGCTGATCACTGTCCGGGGCAGCCGGATCGCTGATCACTGTCCGAGATAGCCGGATCGCTGATCACTGTCCGAGACAGCCGGATCGCTGATCACTGTCCGAGACAGCCGGATCGCTGATCACTCTCCGGGACAGCGTTTGCAATCAACGCCGTGGGATGAGACTCTTTCTCGTCCTCCTCATTTCTCTCCATTCCCCCATCTTCCTCTCCATCCGTTACCCTCCCCTCTTTCTCCCTCTCTCAACTGTCATTCCAAACTGTGAGTAGAGTAAAATGACGTCCATTTGTTAGCTGAAGAAGATAGTAAGCGGTTTTCAGTGCTGATGGACTGCCTGCTTGGCATCAAATGGGCCGAGAATGCTCAGGCCGCGCCTCGATCTCACAAATAACTGGGATGCTGTGTAAAACTGGAACCCAAGACACAACGACTGGAACAGTCATGGTGTTATCAACACCATGCTATGGAACAACAAAGCAAAATCCCCAGTTATGCATTTCACATGGCGTATAGGTTTTTTCGGGATTGACATCGTTTGCCCACTTTCTATTGCGGTTAAGTCCTTAAAAGTGGAATTTGTATGCGTCAAACTTTATTTCAAACAAGGAATGCCTCTACAAAATGGCAGCTGCTGTCGATCCGCTCGTCAGCCCAAATAGTATTCTGCTTTTCCTTTTCACCGCGTTTCAGCGATCGAAATGTTTTGCTGAAACATCTGATAATTTCATAAGGTTGCGAGCAGAGCTGGAACACTGCACATCTTAAGACTTTCATTGCTGAGCATTAGGACAAATGTTCTCCGTGCTGCGAGGAATCTTCAAGTGACGGTGCATACAGTGCAGTGCGTGGGACAATGACAGTGCATGATGAGACGACAAGGGTGCGAAGGTGAAGGTGCAGGGCGGCCGAAAACACGGAAACTACTACACAACAATCCAATGCTGGTGTTGATTAGAAACGACATGGCATCTTATGAAGAAGACATCCAACGGTGAGCAGTTTTATAGTGAAACATTTGCTTTTGCGAAAATAGGGCATGCAGTAAAGCATACTGTCCTTTCAAAACGCGGACACATGACTTAAGAGAGTACTATCTTCCTCAAATAAGATTTTCAACGACCCATCGCGACAGTTGTAAAAGCCGACCAAGACCTTCGAAAAAGGTGGAGCGTGTCGAGGTCGACCAACCCCTATTTCCCACTCATCAACTCTCATTTTCTAACCCCTGGTGACCCGCCCGTGGGCCGAGATATATCTCTTGGTAACCCGCTCGTCGGCCGAGATCTACCTCCCGGTGACCAGCCCGTCGGTCGAGACCCCAGTGGATGAGATTTGCCTCCTGGTGATCCGCCCGTCGGCCGAGATATACCTCCTGGTGACCCGCCCGTCGGTCGAGATATACCTCCTGGTAACTCGCTCGTCGGCCGAGAGCTACCTCCTGGTGATCAGCCCGTCGGCCGAGACCCCGCTGGCCGAGATATACCTCCTGGTGACCCGCCCGTCTGCCGAAATATACCTCCTGGTGACTCGCCCGTCAGCCGAGATATACCTCCTGGTAACCCGCTCGTCGGCCGAGAGCTACCTCCTGGTGACCAGCCCGTCGGCCGAGACCCCGCTGGCCGAGATATACCTCCTGGTGACCCGCCCGTCGGCCGAAATATACCTCCTGGTGACCCGCCCGTCAGCCGAGATATACCTCCTGGTGACCCGCCCGTCAGCCGAGAAATACCCCCTGGTGGCCCGCCCGTCGGTCGAGACTTCGGCCTGCCAGCAGCGAGTGGCGAAGACCAGGCTGGAGCGCGGGCTCACCTGGGCCGCGACAGCTTGCCGAAGGCGTCCTCCATCTCCCGCAGTAGGTGTAGCGTCTTGAACATGGCCTCCCGGTCGCGCGTGGTACGGACAATTTCCGGCGACGAGGCCGTGGCCAGCTGGCGCAAGGACAGCGCGGACGCCACCACAGCCAGCAGCAGCATGGTCCTGTACATGACCTACAGGCATAGATCGCCCTATAGTACATGATCACAGAGTGGCGCCGGTTGAACGTGACCTGGGCGCAGAATGCCACTGGCTTGTGCGTGGATTGGTTGCATAGGGAATGAACCAGACAAAGAGCGGCATTGTCCTGAACTTGCATGCTATAGGCACAGAGCGTTACTATCTTTTTCATGCATGCGCTGAAATTGGATTTTGCGAAGAGGGGTCCTTGGCGACAGACGAATGGTAGAAATTCCTGGAAGCATAAATTAGGCGAGAATCGTGTGGCAAATTCTGATCAAGCATATTTTGTTCATGAAATTGTATTATCAATCAAACATCAATTATTTGTCTAATGAAAACTGACAACACAACATACACTTGGTGTACATGTGCAGGATAACCAAACAAATCAGACGGCAGATAGGTTCCAAGACGACAGGTCATTAAAGAAAACGGGGGAAAACACGACCTTATGAAGAACTCATTGACCTTCATAAAATGGCGCCTGGCCTCTTAAGTTTGTTTCCGGTTAGATGTACTTAGTAGCGTTCATGCATTTCGCACGGCTGGCTTTATTTTTCCATACCATGGCGGGACAGTATTGATAATTAACTTGAATTCAAGATGGCCGCCTCAGCGGACACACAGGCAGCAGATCAATCCCGATTTCTCAGTCTGGGCGAACAGACGACTGCTCCGGTGACCTAGAGTAAAATCGTGGTTTAGAGGCCGGCCATGAAACCAAAGGTTAAGTTTAAGTGAGACCGTCACTTTCCAGACCGAGCTTGACCTTACATGTGTATAGATGCATTGGGCGTATACCTTTCACCGAAGTAAATATTAAAAATTGTTCTTCAGTGACCCACAATTTCTATTTCAAATGTGTTTTTAATGTGTTCTTTCAAAGGACTCTCCGCTTACTACTTCCAAACTACAACTCGACTTCAGTAAGATTTACTATAGTCGTATCCAGCTGCACCAACAGCATTTCTTCGCAAGATTTCACTCGTCATTTACAACCAACAGCACGCCAGAAATAAAGCTGAAGTATTGGTAACATTACACTATTCAAGAACATTCCAATCCAGCGCAAGCCTAACGAGTTGGGTTTCGTCGCACTTGCCATCACAAGTGCGGCAAATTCGTTGGGCCCTTCGAGCTGATTAGACAAGCACCACAGATTTACGTTCCCGCTATAGCTGAGGTGAAATGGAGCCGTTTACACGCATTTGACGATGTTGCTTGTGCCTTGAAATTTTATCAAAATGAGCTTTTTAGTACACACTTTGGTTGTTCTGGGCGCACTTTCTAGCGTAAAAGACAGTGGTAACCATTCCACTTTCAGCGCACGGTAAGAGCGTCCCGAGGTAAGAGGTAAATTGCATGTCATACCAGCGGGTCCGAAACAGGTGTTCATAGAACAAGACAGCTTCATGTGCATGTCAAGCCGAGCTAGCTTGATGCATTGCAATTGGTTAAACCCACACTTTGGAATGGAAACGGGTGGACCAGGGGTGTAGGCCACTGCTAGGTCCACTCGGATAGGGAGCAGAATGCGTAGCTTCCTAAGGTCGAGCGCGATAACGCGCAAACTAATTCGCCTAGATTTTGATTGCCACGTCGTTTCAGGCTGGTCAGCCAACTAAGTGTGACAAGACTGGATATGGTGTGAGACACCACCACCACAGATTCTGTAAGTGTTCCTGTGCTGCAGCTGAGTGAAGAGTGGCAGTGACAGTGCGAACTGCAAACTGAGGACTCCCGCGGCAGCTGCGGCCTGTTCTACCGCGCGCGGTGGGTGTCGAATGGCACGCAAACTGAGGGCTCCCGCGGCAGCTGTGCCCTGTTCTACCGCACGCGGTGGGTGTCGAATGGCACGCAAACTGAGGGCTCCCGCGCGGCAGCTGTGCCCTGTTCTACCGGGCGCGGTGGACGTCGAATGGCACGCAAACTGAGGGCTCCCGCGGCAGCTGCGCCCTGTTCTACCGCGCGCGGTGGGTGTCGAATGGGACGCAAACTGAGGGCTCCCGCGGCAGCTGTGCCCTGTTCTACCGCGCGCGGTGGGTGTCGAATGGGACGCAAACTGAGGGCTCCAGCTCCTGTTCTACCGCGCGCGGTGGGTGTCGAATGGGACGCAAACTGAGGGCTCCCGCGGAAGCTGCACCCTGTTCTACCGCGCGCGGTGGGTGTCGAACGGGACGAGTCGTCTGCCGACCGCAGGTGTCCGCCTGTCCTCGATATCATTTAATCGTCTGGCTCAAAACGACCATTTGTCGCTTTCACCTACTGTCTAGATTAACTTTGATGACCGCTGAAGGGAATAAACAAAGAGCGGTAGCGTGGTAGTCAATTTTCTTAATGACGCAGACTTAGACAGCTGACAGAATCGTATGTTACGACACGTTTCGGTATTTTCTGTCGTGCCCAGTTTCTGGACAGGTCAATGAGTGAACAAGTATTGAGCCTCTGAATCAATACAAGCAACGACAAAACGATTTGGCCCTATTTTTGCCTCATATAGATATCCACCTGCTGATGCAATGTGAGATTTCCATATGTCAAACCAACGATATTCCGAACCGGACTTGCAAAGTGTAAAGCTGAAAGACTTCAGAAAGAAAACTACAAACAGGTTGCTTGAAATTTTAGTGAAAGTACAACGCTAACCGAATCTGAGCTGAGCATCCCACTACCCGAATCACCACGCCTCAGTGGCAGACTCATGAGAAGAAGGCGGCCCACACGCCCCTGGGCGAGTGGGCCGCCCACCTGCGCGCCGCCATTCCACGGGCCCAGCCATACCCCCACAGCACACGCGCTGGTCGGCGTCTCCGGCGGCCGCTGACCGCTGATACTGCAGCCTACTCACGCCTCGTCTCACTGGCTGCGTGACGAGCTCCGCCTGCCTCCGGCCGCGCGTGCCGACTGACTGGAGGCCAGGGGACCCAACCGCCAGACCCACTAGCCGCCCCCTCGGCCCGGCTGCGCGCCGGCACGGCGCCCTCCCCGCCCCCATAGAAAATCAGACTGGTGACGTCGCTGGGGAGAACATCGTCATCAGTGACGTCAGCGACCGCCGTGCACTCGTCAGATGACGGTGTGGAGAAGATGCGCCCTGACGCCGCCCACCATGCGGCGATGCCTTTTGGAATATCAACCCCATCGAGCGAAACCAGACCTCGATTGCCACGGTTTACTTGCTGATTCAGTGTATGCGGAAGGAAAATCCGATGCATCGATGCGTTTGGAACGCACTTAATTTGCTTATTTAATTGAAGCCTGAAAATCCATCCCCTCCCGCACCCCCCCCCCCCCCAACCCCACCCCGTTGCTCAACCACTCAAAGCGTCTACCTCCCGAACCTACCAGTGGCGGAGTGGGTGGGTTCGAATCGCTTCGACAATTCGTATGTGCTGCGATTCGTAATGTGATTAATGTTGGTAAGGCTTGGGATTCAGGCTTTCATTTCCGCTGCCAAAAGCACGCCTTTGTCGCATGTGACAAGCAGCCGTGACTCGCATTCGCGCTGGCGCTCTGCTATGTGGCATTGCAGACGGTGCAGGGGCTCTGGTGATGTTTAAAGTCAACGTCACACCAATAAGCGACGGAAGGATGGACAGCGCATGAACAAGCGGTCTGATAGCACTATATTGCCTGACCCTGGACTACAAAGGGATCATTTTACGAAGAAGCATACAAATTCTACCGAAAGTCTACAACTGCTTGGGCAGGAGGCACAGGATCTTTGAGATCGGTGAGACTGTCATTCGGTAGCTTGACAGGTCAACACGCAGTGATGTTTGGTGATATTCACAACACCTTCGTGTCCACTGAACAAGAAGCGTTTCGCGAGGACTCTGATCTCGATCTGAGTCCGTTGATAGGCAGTGCAGCTCCCAACAAATTTAAGTGGAGCTTTTTGACTATTATCAGAGAAGAGTGTTTGCATGCCAAGTTCGGGAATTTCATCTTGATCAAGATTACGTAAGTTTTTCAGTGCATTAGTGAGGAACATTATTCACATAGATAAGACAACAGCATTAGCCTCATTTCTCGGATAAAAGCCAGGAGAATGGGAATAAAGTTAGGTTGATATTTCGGCAACGTGCCTTTATCGAAACAATAGTGGAAGTCTTCTGCTATTTTTTTTATAAAGGCATGTTGCCGAAATATTAACCGAACTATATCTCCATTCTCCTGGTTTTTATCCGAGGAATGAGGCTAACGCTACTGTCTTATCTATTGATCAAGATTGGAAACCTAATAGTATTGATATACAATGACCTTCTCATGATTGAAAGCGACATGTTTGACAAGATGGGTCGTTCTAGGTCAGTGACCTGTTCTGACCTTAAATAAGTCCATAGAAGATTATGATATGGTTCCTGTGATTAAGAGATTCAAAATGAGCACCAAAAACTACCCCATACCGCAAGCTCTCGAGTAAAAAAACAGGTTGTTTTTTACCGCGTTCTGACCATCTTACCTGATCCTAGGTCAGCGAAATTTATGGCTTCAATTGTTTTGCCGCCTAATAAACAATCCCAGAGATGTATGACTTCGTCTAACACTTCGTTGCTGCATCAGATTGAGCGATTCCCTAGAAATTGCCTTCGCTTAAATCATAGCCTGAGTTTGACCTGCCACAGGTCGGCGATCTTATTAGATGCATCTTAATGTTTGACACGAAAAGATCCACCATTCAGTTGTCTACGGCCGCGCAAAATTTGGCGCGGCTACATCGCGCCGTTGGAAAATCATTCCGGAAAAGCCTTCGGGTGGGGGTCCCATTGACCCCCACCGACGCATTACGATGAAGTCGCGAGTTTGCGCCGGGCACCTCCGCGGGGCAGATATTTGAGCGTGACGTTCGGAACTGGACGGCGGGGGGCGTAGCTAAGCAGGTTGGAACGATTCTGCTGAGACAACAGCATGCAACTGCACTGGCGGGCATGTCCGGCTCTGCCTGCATGTGGCCACGTCCTGCTGAGTGCGACAGTTGAGT